TTTTTATTTCATAAATGTCTCTTTTAGTGTGAATTAATTGAATGTTATGCATATGAAATTTAAAAGTGCTTTTTATCGAAAAGTTTTATCTTGAGTATAACCATTTGGAAATTTAAAAGTGTATAAATTGGAAATTTTAGTGCACATGAAGGCATCTGGAAATGATTGAAGTTGTGTTTGTTGAAAATTTATAGTTATAATAAAATTTAATTTTTATTGTTAAATGTTTCATGTAATTCATTAGTTATTTGTCTATTTTTGAACCTGGGTAACTGTTACCAAAATTCAATTGAAAGATCACAGCCTTGCCAAAGTTTGAAGGGTAACGGTACAATATTTGAATTGTTGTGAACAACGTTTCATTATTTTATGTTTCATTATTTTATGTTTTCACAATCAGTAATGTTTTTGTGTATTACAGAAATATGGCAACTTCCAAAATAGATAAAAAAAAAATAAAAAAAGCAATGAAAAGAGCCTCTACAGATGTGGCAGCCGAAGGCTTTAAATGGCTGGCTGAGATGGAAAGTACTTTTATACAGCTGTTTAGAAAGTATGTAAATATTTCGAATGTAAAAAATCCTTTGTATAAACATAGAATGCTTCGACGAGTAAGTTTCGACGAAATAAGTAAGAAGTTGGTCGTCGATTATCCTCTGCATGCAGCAGAATTTACAATTGGTGAGTATTTAAATCTTAAATAATAGTTTTTACATCGTGATTATATTTGAAGTGACACATGTAATTAAATTTTATGTTAAAAACTAAAATGAGCTTGTAAAAAACGGAAACTAAACATTAATTTATTTCTATAAGATATTTTATGATATCAATAATATAAATTTGTGCAGTTGCAGAAAAGTGTGAATAAATTACACCTTCAACATCTGAAAAAATAAATACATATGTAAATAAAAGTACATTTATTTAGGATATTAATTCTAAAGTGTAACAATTCTTACTATAATAATTAGAAACAGGGCATTTATGGAATTAATTTTAAATAGCTTAACCAATTTCTAATTCTGTTCAGCATATTAATGATATATTAAAAGAGATACAATAGTAAAGAAACTAGACTGAAATTCATCTTACATGGGCTGACTTAAAAAATATTTAATATAATGATACACTATAATTTGATAGCTTACAATACACATAGTATTGTGACAGACTTTGTAATCATCAAATTATCATACATAAATACCATTTAAAATACATTACAAACTTAACATTTTCTTTCATTAAGGTTTCATTAAAATAATAAAAATAAAATACCAATCTTAATATTGATTTCCTTGCTCAATTTGAATATAATCAGCATATGTGATTTTTTGTATTAAGTATGTTAATAATGAAAGAAAATTTTAAGTTTCTTTTTTATATTAATGAATAGAGAAAAATCATAACTGTAATGTGGCATAAAATTCAAGGAATTTAATTATTGTGGGATATACATATATTCAAACAAGATGCATTCAAAATATAAGCTAACATGTGTACATACCCCCGAATTTTTAAATTAAAACAGTATTAACACTCGATCAAAATATCCGTACATATATAGATACATCCAAATATTTTGGAAAATGTCATGATATTGTCAAACCTTCCTTTTTATTTCACTAACTTTAGCTCTTTTTTTTATAGAAAAGCTACAAAGCAAATATTCAAAGCTAAAATATCAGTTTCAGCGAAATATTAAAAAAATTAGACATCTAAAAAGTGGTTCTGGCTGTGAAAGTATCACTGTGCCATGGATGCATTTCAATGCTCTACAATTCCTTGATGGAGTTGACGACAGCTTTTCTACTTTGGATGGTGATAAGCATAAATCAACACAGGTATAATTTTATAAGTTTCCTATTTTATTTCAGTTTTAACTAAAATACTATTATAAAGTTTAAGAAATTATTTTGATACTTTTCCTGATTACAAAGGTCTATATGTGATCATAGTAAATTATTGGTACTTGCTGTTCGAAAGTGTAAAGCATCAGGTGTACAATAATTAAAATGTTTCATGAAACCCACTTTTATTTTCAAGATATTTTTAAATATTCAATAAATCTTAAAAATTAAATGACTATCAACATTAAATAAAATCAGTTTTCGCGATGAATTTTTATTTATTATAGAAAAGGATGTATACTGATTTTAAATATACATAAACGTGTGTATATAGCTATTATCTCTTCATTCTACTTTAACACTTAAATGAACATTTAATTCATTTTTGGTGGTGTTGGTGCTACTGTATTAAAGCAGTATAAAATCTTATCGAATTTTAGAAATTTGTTTTGGGATAAATTCAAATTTTAATGGAGAATCTAAAAGGGTAATAATAGAATAAAAAAAAAGCTTCAATTTTTCTCTTTTTCATAAAATTAAATGGCACTTCTTTGCCAGGTATTCTGTTATTAGACATTGTTATAAAATAATGTCATGTATTTACTCGTCTTAATGAGTTATGTTTATTTTTGACAATTATTGCATTAAAATTTTTTTTTTCAGAACGAGCTGACCTTCATGTATAATAAAGATCAGGAGGTAGAATCCATTTCACATTCTACCGGGATTGATCCTGGTGTGAGTTTCATTTCTATGTATTTCATTTCTTACATTTTATCTCCGTAATGTTAATTTCTATGGAGATGAATTTTTGCTGTCTACTTCATGTAGAGTGAATTTTGTTTTGACTACTGGGTAGGTCAAAAGTTTTTTTAGCAAACAATTCAGATTGTTTTCATTTGTATTACTCAAGATCAGCTAGGTACAGCTGTTAATATGTGTTTTGTGTTGTGATTACAATTGTAACTATATGTTGGGGCACAGCATTCCTAATTTGAGGCCAATTTACTGTCAATATGATTGATATGTAGTTTTATATGTAATGTCTGTAAGTGCAGAGGTAGTGGACTGGAAAGGCACGTTGTTAATTTATTAATTTTAATGCATTTTGGTTACGAATACTTTTGGCTTTTCTTTTTAAATTTTTAATCTTAAAAAAAAAAAAAAAAATTCTTCAAAATATTTTTGCCGGCTATAGGTATAGTGTAACATTGTGTCACTTAATTTGTATTTTGTAACAAAATTGTGACCTAAAAATTAGGCCGACCCCTCGCCTTTGACGCCTTTCTGTCTGTCGTCCTTCACGGCTTTGACCTTCGGCGGCCTTTGATGTAAGCACATAGGACATGGTCGGAGGTGGTCGCAGTTAGATCATAATTGTGATTTCGTTTAAGCTTTTTATCAGTTCACTTCGGTTCTCTCTTAGCCACGAATCTCGCTGCGTTTTAGGAAATTTCACTTCAATTTTTAACCTAACGATATAAATACCCGTCCATTTTTGGAGCGGGACATGCGAAACTTGATGATGAAAACGACACTACGATCCCTTAACAGGGATTTCTTTTATTCCTTCCACCCCCCTCTCCTCTCATTGAGACACGGTTTTTTAATTTTCATGATGGCGTCGTTTCCCCGCCATTGCAACTATCTCAACA